TGCTCTTTGTGATGTAACTCCAGTGCTTTTCCAAAGAATGACAAACCTGTGAAATGAAGTCAACAGTCATCAGTCTAAAACAACCATACGTTTTACCAATAACTCTTTATCCAATAACTACAACTTTTGTATGTTTTATTTTCTTCTGCTTTTCAAGATAGACTGGCATGAAAGTATTTCATTTGCCACAACTGCACAAGATAAAGGAAAAAAGGACATAAATGTAAACCTAAAGGTGCATTCCTATTCATACCCTGCCCTCCTCCCTCCAACATTATCTGCCATTATGGCTTTTCCGTCTTTCTCTCCGAATATGTTTCCCAACATGTGCACTAATAAAACAGTTAATACATAATGGAAAAAATACATGAGAGTTTACTATTAATAAACCTGTGTTACCAGCTGGGTCATATTATTTCATATAGATTAGTGTATATAAACATTTACACATACACTTGATTTGAAAAATTCACACCTATGAGTTGTAATTAGTGGTCCCTAAGTGAAGTGAATTTAACTGTGGTAAAATTATGAAGTAGGGTTTGATTTTCTGAAGGCAACCTGTTCTCACATCTCAGATGTTGCAGCTTTCTTTAAGTGTTTAATGCACCTACAAGGAAATATTTCAAAAACAGCATGTTCTCAATTGAATTACAATATAATAACTTATATCAAATATTTTTTGCAACCAGATTGTCTTATTGAAAGAAAACTACAAATGTGAAAACAAAAACATCCTGTTTGGACTGATGATATATCAAAGAAACGGCCCTGGTTTAAGCGCTTTTGTTTATAAGTTGTCAGTGTTATAAATGTTTTTAATCGTAATAAATACACTTCCAATACCAGTACATTTGTTAACAAGTCATGTCAAAAACAAAGAAAAACACAGCACTTTTCTCAACTGAACTGCAACTTTTCTTTGTGTTGTGAGTGGGAGATGTGTTACTAAAATAATGGCTATGTTGATGTATTGTACATTACCATGATCCTGTTGCCGCATCACATCCAGATCCAAACTCTCGTTCTCCTTATAGAACAGTCGAAAACGCTCAAAGGTGTGTGAGTACACTTTTGCTGCATCAAAGGCAAACTGCAGTGATTCCTAAGGGGAAAAACAAATCAGGCCCATACTTATACAGCACTGTAAAGACAAAGTACAATATCCAGAGATAGAAAACAAGCTAAAGTGAAAACCAACCTTGATGTTTTTGATGATGCTTTGAAGGTGGCCATCAGTCTCCATGATGAATTCCAAACTGGGGCCATCTTTAAATTTATTTTTCGGCATCTGAAAGTTTACAAACGCACATAAAAACACACACTCTATCACAGATTAATTCCAGCGTAAAATCTCATCATACTTTAATATTATTCACATATCAACAACATTAACATTTAACAGCTAAGTAACCCTCAATAGACACATTTGTTTTTACTACCTCAAACTCTTCAAACTGTGTCAGTGAATCAAAATCAAGAGCTGCCGTAAGAGTATTAACTGACATCACTGTCTTCTCAAATCGGTCAATGACCTCTGCAATAGTCTCCTGCAAAACAAGAAATACAGGGAAAAACGCACACATACACGTTCTGTTTAGGAGTATACTTTAGATAGGAATTTCATGGAAAATAAATAACTTAAAGTGTAACAGTTCATAACAATTTGGGAAACAGACCTGAAAGTTTTCCCCAGAGGGTTTGTAGGTCAAAGCATTTGTCTCCAGTATCAGCTCAGAGATGAACATAGGTTGGACGTGAGGAGCTTCTGACTCAACAGACTATAATAAAAACACACACACCAACCAAAAGAAACAAACTGAATACTGGACTGTGTCTGCTGGAAATGCTGGTGCTTGGCGGATACAGTTATTACAATGGTTTCACAGTGAAAGTACTGAAACAATGCCCTACCTTCCTCTCCATCTCTTGATCACCAGGGTCAGTGATGGCCTCAGAGTGCTGGTTCCAGCTCTGAATGATGGCATGGCTGGGCGTTCGGTGTACCTGCTCCTGGAGCACAGCCAGTAGTTTGGCCACTGCATTCACCAACAAGGAGTGCAAGGTGTTGACAACCAAATAGTCAACAAGACGGAAGAAGCTGGATAGGTGAGAGACAGAAGTGTTGGACGGGATTCATGTGTTAGACGTGTCTGATTAATGGCATCCAGACTTGTCAGACTTGTAGAGAAAGCACAGGTGATACTACTAACATTAACTATGGCTCTGTTGTATTTAACCCCAATCTTGCCTCATTATCCGAGCAGAATTCAGTCATCATTTATTTCATTATTGCACCTGTGTTTTCCAACTATAACATGTAAAAATGTCTTTCATTATATAGAAAAATGGGAGGGGGTATGTCTACAACTACACAAATAGAGAAAGAGACCTCAAGGCATGAAAGGGGAGCAAATTCAAGACAATTACTCACCAGATAAGGCGATTAGAGAGAAAAGCCTTGTCAATCTGCGCAATCATTTTCTTGGCCTTGTCATCCTCTGTGTTAAACAGAGTGTACTATCAAACATTTAACACTGTGGTCTATGGAAGTACATTGAAGTGTGTTCATATACACTGTATGTACACACCTCTTTTTTTAGGTTCGGATCGAGGTTCCAACCAGTAGTTGTGACAGGCACAAACTGTCACTTCCTTTACCAGGTCTTGAAACTTCTCCAAGTCATTCAAAATCTGACAATAATAAATAAATGAGGGCAATAAGTTTCTGAAGACGTATACAAATACATACAAAATGTATATATGTACCCATCAAACATCTGGATCAATTTTTGTATGAATGTACAAGTGCACCTCTTGTTGTTGTTTGAACAGAGTGTCCTGGAACTCCTGCAGCGTGTAAGTGTGTTTTTTCTCCATGCGAAACAAGCCGGTGTCACTGATTTGGTAACACATTTTCCTGATATCTAACAGTGCAGGACTCAGAGACTGTATGACATTTGCACATGTTAATAACAACAGAATTCCCATACTATTGCCATTAGTGTATGCTATTCCATATTCAAGCTCATTAAGACAGATTGAGACAAAATTTAGTCCTTGATTCACGTACCTTACTAACAATGAACAAACGGTTTCGGAGGGACTCCCTGGCCAAATGAATCTTCTTGGCCCGAACTTTGGCATGCCAAACGTAGAAAGGTTTCCACTTTTTGAAGAGGGCAAAGAAGGGGATGCGAATCACCTTGCAGTAGGAGTTGTACTCTTCTTCCCAACGCTCAAGGGTTGTAAAGTCAAACTCGTCTTCACATACAGATAGCACACCTTCATCGTTGATCGACAAAATGTCATCCTTACTGTACTCATAAATTTGAACTCTGGAGGGAGTATCCAGAAGTCCACGACTCTTAATGGAAAAGGGCCGTTTTGGGGGACTAGGGCTTGATACCACATCCTGGGACAAATGAAGAGTGGAGGAGCAGTTGAGACACACAAGTTAAGATGATTTTTCTTTTGTAAGTGCTAATTTAAAGGAAATTAATGATGATTTTTTGGCTTTAACAAAAGCTTTGTCAACCATTTGCATGATGAGCTTGATTTCCCAATACTATTTTAATAAATGCTACGTTTTTTATGTCTGTCACTGACCATTGTAGTGGATTGCAGCGGAGGTAGGTGGACAGGCAATTTTTCACGGCGCCTGTGTGGCTGCACTGTATGTTGAGGTGGAGGTGGCTGAATGCACCAGCCTGGAAAAAACATCCGCTCACGGGCTTTTAAGTGGTTGAGACTGGGTTGTTTGCATGTTACTCGTCTCTTCAGTACAGCCTACATCAAGGGGAAGAGAAGATCCATATCTATATACATTAATTACCTTAAGCCTGAGCCAAGGCTAACATAAAGGCCACAGTATGAGAAGTACTAAATTCTGTGTATAGTAGATGGTATTTCATATTGTCTGAGTTTGATCTTAGTTTGCAATGTTTTTACCTGTGGGTCTTTCACATGGACTGGAGGCCTTGGCAGGATGGTGGGGCTCTGTAGTTCAGGGAGCTTATGATGCTGCTCTGGGACTGTATGTAAGTGGAATTTTAAGTTTACTACTTTCATTTCATTAAATAGTTGACTTACCAATACTTGTTATAAAGTAGCTATATGACACTTAAGACTTAAGTAGCATATTTTTATAATACTTAAAAGGCCGTATATTAGCTGGGCCTACCTCTGGACTCATTTTCCCTGCATTGGCCCGGGTGGCCCGTCAGAGAGGCCCTCGGAGATGCAGCGGCCATGACATGTATCCTCACAGGCCCTAGGCAGCAGGACAGGGGAGGGGTAGTACTAGTAGTAGTACAGTGGTAACGTCTGCTAGAAGTAAAGTCAGTACTAAATAATTATTTAGCTACACAGTTAACTTTATCGGTAGCTTGTGTCAAAATTTGAGAACCTTTTTCTGACCACATTAAATTTTTTACATTTTTTTCTTCACATAGCGCTAGCTGCACAAAATACACACGAACATTTGTGTAAAAGGAGATTGTGGATGAGGTGGATATTAGCTAGCTAAGTTGGCCTATCTAACTAAACTGGTTACGCTGGTTAACCCAGTTTATCGTTGGTTAACGTTATTTCAAACGGTAACTTTAGCAGACTTTTACAAGTTGTTTAATATGTGAGAACATTGTCTAATTGAATAAGCACTGTCTTTAAAAGGTATCCAAACATGCTTACCGTATCAACTATTCAGCTCCGAAATGTTTTTAATACAACTATAATGTTATAGCTTCATGAAACGATCTTTCATGCGCTGCAAGGGTTGCTGGCCTAGGGCAGAGGTTTACCGTTTCCTAGCAACAAAATTATCTCCCTGCATGCAACGCAACCAAACAAAGGCCTGTTGCAGGTTTTTTTGTTTCATACTGAGGTTTTTTTTTTTTTGCACCAAGACAGTTACAGTGACATGTCTCATAAGACACAAAGTATTTGATTCCAATAAACCCATATTCATATACATACATTAAAGACTACCATGTATTTTGAGGGTGTTTATTTTGTCATTAGAAAAAGGTTCATTTTACACATTACATAGAGGACATCTTTCCATCCTCACAAATACAAAGCACCAGAAAACCTTTGAAACAAAAAGTGAAACTTGCCTCTGCTATTTAATCACCAGAGCACTGACAACAGCATAACTGTCTTATGCCTTAGGTCAAAATGTTGATATCACCTTACCAAAATGAACAAAGTGCTCTTAACACGTGGCAACATTATTTGTCCTATAGCACAGTGATGAGTGACCATTATACAGTCTATGGATCAACCGTGGCTGTTTTCCTTCTCTGCGATGCCAGTATAGTCAGCTGTTAAAAAAATACAGATAAAAAAACTTCAGTCATCAATGAAAAATACTTATTTCTCCATGTAAAAGTCACACCATGTCACCACCTCCACACACAAAACACATAGTTACCTATACCTGTTGTGTAGCAGTAGTTGCCCTTTGTTCAGCTTGTGTCAGTCGTCTCTGGAGACGACTCGTCTTCTCTTGATACTCTGCAAGCTGCCTCTCATACTACACATACACACATATACCAATTAGTTAAATGAAGTCAGATAATGGGTAGTTTTCACTATCCATTATCATAGGCATACTTTTCTGGCTGTTGTTTATAGATGTGGACTTGGCATTAAAAACATGCAGAAACTGTCTGAGTCTTTATATTGTTAATTAGTATCACTCCTTTGCTTCTGGACTTGTTTCAGGTCACACATTCTCCGAAACTATAAATTAGCCCGAGAATCACAGATGTCATTCTCGTCACCCTTATCTCACCCCATTTGCAACTAAATATGTATTATTTCTCATATATATGGAGTACAAAATGTTGCATAGTATGAACGGCATACAGTCAACCTTTTCCCAACTTTCATGCTACTTGATGCCGCTTGGCACCTAATGCTAATATTGCAGGTTTCCAGTAAAAGACCTCCTGCTTCTTGCCTTTTTTTTACCTGCCACCGTTGGAGTTTTTACCTAACTCCAACGGTGGGCTGATATTTGCAGAGGCTCACATCAGCTGAATAGGCCTGAACCGCAAAGGGCAGCTCCTCCCATCAGGAAGAAGACAATGTCCTGCAGTGCAGGATGAACATCTTACATTTCCCCTTATAAGACCAGGTTTTGAAGATCTGTCACCATATCCTCTTAGTTAATTCTCCAGTACAAGAAATAAAGTGGTGTGTATCTGTTACACACCTCAGCAATGGTATGATGGTCAGTTTCAAGCTGGATCTCCAGCTCGTGTGAACGCTGCTTCTGCCGATTCAGCTCTGCCCTGAAAGAAACATTGAAAAAAAGAAGATAAGAGCCAAGCTGCCTCTCACAGAGACAAAAACATGTATAAAGCTTTATTTTCAAATGTGTCAGTATGTTCAATATTTCCAATACATCTCAGTGCAGTACAGCTGTCGCTAAAGGCAAAACAAGTTCAAGAGGTAAGGCAATTTTTGTTTCAACTGTCATCAGAATTTTTTTGGTGTTCCACCTTAGCTGTTGTGTAATCTTTGATCCAATGTTTGTGTTGATGTTTTATGAAAATAAAAAAAACAGTAAGGTATCAGTAGGATACAATAAAGACAGTTTGTGTGAGTACTGTATTAAATATTAATGAATATATTAAATTTTATTTAAAATAATCTCTTATTGGAGATAAGAACTTCTTTTGCCTGTCAGTTACTCACTAGTTTCCATTAGACTGGTTATCACTGTATGGTTCATTTTGCAGGTTTTAATTTAACCAGAAAATGTTTGCTCTTTTTCAGCACCACATTGCTTCACATTTATCTACACAAGAAAAATACCCAGTAAATCCACATTAAGAATTGTTGTTAGAGCGGGCAATTGTTTTCATTTATGTTCCCTATCTATTTTAAGATTCTCCGCTCATGTTTTGTATCTTTTTTTCCTTTCTTTAGTAATGTTAAATCTACCTTTAAAGACTCTTACTTGAGGCCTGTGATTTTAGTCTCAAAGGCCTGGACCAGGTTCTTGGCTTCTTCTTTCCAGCGCTGAGTACTTTTCTGCTGTGCTGTGAGGAGGCGTGTCAGATCAGCACTGGTGCTTCGGCTGCTCTCCTCCAGCTCCCTCACCCGTGCGTCAAGTCCCTGCTCCTTCAGACTGTACTCCTGCTCCACCTGTGACACCTGGAGGAGGGCAGCGGAGTGAGGAGGTCTGTGGACATAAGGTTGCCCTGCTGGTCCAAGATTCATTCAACTGGATAAAGAAGACTCGCATATCCAGCCTTCTGTGAACTAATAAAATTTAATTCTACATTACCAGTCAGTAACATCACTTTATGAAAGCATGACTTGTATGTGAACCATGTATTAACTTCTGCCAACTTTCACACCACCTTGAATGCAAGCATTTCTTCCACTAATGGGTCTTCTGCTGTTGATCAAAATGGTTGTCTGACAACACTTCAGAGCAGCAGGCTGAACAAATACATTTTTCTTACCCCACTGTCATTTGTGGCTTTAGAAGGAGTCTGAGAAAATAACACTGATGATGATGTCTCTCAGCTCTCAGAGACAACAAATTTATGACAGAAAAACTTGTATTGCAAACTGAAGAGTGGAGTTTTGAAAGATCTCAGCACTTCAAAGACAGGGGGTCTAACAAAAGATGATATTGAGTTGCATTATGAGAATTGTAAGATGCAGGGGTTCTGAAAGTTAACCCACACTTGGGGCTAAAAGTCAGGATATTTTGGCCTCTGCTGTGGAGTGGCTTTTTCAAATGTTCGACCACTTTGGTCCAGACTGAAAATATCTCAACAACTGTTTGTTGGATTTCGTACAGACAATCATGGTCCTCCAATAGTTGCTCTGAGTTTTAGTGAGTTGGATGGATTTCCATGAAGACATTTACAGTACCCAGAGTGTTCTCTTATCCTGTGAAATTTCATTTAACAGAAGGACATTGGGCTTTTTTGTGAGATGTCGAGAACTATTGGCTGGATTGCCAAGAAATTGGTCGTGATACATGCATGTTCCTCTCAGGATGACTTGTATTAACTTATCATCGAGTCATCGTCAGGTCAAAATTTGAACTTGTCCAATACTTTTGTTGATGACCAAATACCTGCAAAACTAATGTCATTGCCATCAGCCTGAACTGTCCTTTGTGTTTCTGCTTATTGGCAAAGAGCAGTGGGGGGCAAACCCTTGGATGAGACTCTGATTTGAGAAGATTTCAGAACTGATTGGTGATTACAGTGCACCGTGTGTCTGGCTCATGTTTGCTGTTTTGCGAATGATTATCACTTTTAATCCTCATTTTAATCTGTTTCTGAAAAGTCCCCAAAATTCATGGAAGAGCATGACAAAATCGCTGGAATAACCCTTTAGCAGATTATCTATCCTCTTCTCCCCTTGCATTTATTCCACAGCCTTCCTCCTATTCTATTCTTCTTTTTCATCATTCCAGTAAGAATGGCCTCATATACTTTCACTTGTTGCAGTGTCATTTCCTTCACTTTCTTCGTTTACTACCAAACTCCAACTTCACTCTTACTTCAACGTGTCTTTTCTAACTGTTCTTGTAGAGGGCACTGATTCTGTCACTCCTTTCTGTTTCTATAGTTACCTGTTGTTTGGCCTTCTTTTGGACCAGCAGCATGGCCTTTCGCAGCTCATCCATCTCCCTGCAGAGCTGCAAGTTCTCCTGTTGCAGGTGGAGTCGCTCCTCACTGACGCTAACACAGTCGTCCCGGACTGCAGTCAGAGAGCCCTGCAACCGCTGCACTTCCTCTTGGCACCGGGACAGCTCCTCACTGTAGCTGCAGATGGATAGATAGATCAAGGAGGAAAGAGGAGAAAAAGACAGAGACAAGGACAAAATGTTAATTTTCAAACCACCGTTATTATTGGCAGCAGATAGAGCCACATGGGCAACACTCCCTGCCATTCTGAGTGCTCTGGGATGTGAGAAGGAATGGAGTAAAGGTGGATAACCTAACTTCCAGCCTTTAATACTAAGTATTAACTATTGCACTCACTCCATGTCCATCTTTTTTAGTTTGTTCTGGGTGCTTTGCAGAGTGAGGCTCATGTCTTCCTTCATCCTCTCTGCATTCAGACACCTCTGATGAAGGGCATCAATCTTCCTGAACTCTGGCTCTGCCCTACCTTCTTTATACACCTAGGAGAAAAACACATCACGCAGCATTAAAAAGAATCAATAGTACCGCCTTAGCCCATTCATAAAACCATATCATCACACACTAAACTCTGGATCTAACTTCTTCTTCTGCTACTTTCATACATACCTTTTCCAGTTCCTCCTCTGCAGCTTTTCTCTCCCGCAAGGACCGTTCAATCTGAGACTCTTTATCTGCACACTCCTAGAGAGAGAGAGATAGAAAGACAGAACGAGGAGAGTCAGGGAGAAGCAGGTTTGGAGACAGAATGAAAAAGATGAGTAGACGGGTACAGACTAAAAAAGGATTTTGTATGATTTTGAGAGGTATTTGTCCTTCTTACCAGCTGCAGTGCAGACAGCTCCTCGGCCATACGGTGGATTTGAACGTTGCACTGCTTGCGCACATTTTCCACCTGTTAAAGATAAAGTCACAGCTCAAATATAGGCAATGACTGCAGGGATCTGGGGAGTGTAATTGCTTTTCATTTTTCTTTCAGTTAGATAGACAGTACCTTTTACTCGACAAAAAAAGAAGGCACTTGAGTTGGGGACTTAACTCTGAGTTGAAACATATGTGAGGAAAGTTATCCAAACACAGACTCTTGCTTTGACTGGGCAGCACATTCAGATTATTAAAATCACCTGAAAATTACAAGTCCACACCTGAGAGGCTGTGAGGATTTTTTAGTGTGGACCCTTTCGACCATGTTTTTAGGGATGAGGTATTCCAATGTGCCAAGCAAGCACTTATCTTTAATACTAAAGAATTTGGGAAATAGAAAAAGCAGACGAAATGGCAATAATGTGTAAAAAAGCAATTAATGCATGCGAAATGAAAAATTGAAGGTCAAGATGCAAATACACATCTAGCTGTAAATTTGTAATGTATTTACTGACCTGAATTTTCAAAGTTAATAAGTTTGATTTGCATTTTCAAGATACAGGGACAAAGGTCTTAGAGGAAACAGAAGAGAAATATTAATATAGCAATGTGATAGAGAAATCTCTGTATTCATAGTAGAGTATTGTCTGTAATCTGTAACTTATCGTAAAATAGCAGCCTTCAAACAAGTCATTTAACCTGAGCCACCCTGTACCAATTCACTCACACTACCTCATTAAACTGATTCATCTACAATATTTTATTTATAAAATGGTTTATTTAACAAATTGAATTTCCATATGTGTAACAAGTGATACTAGCTTGGTTCTGGTGGCCTTTGATTTTAAAATGCTGACTGTGTAATCACAATGTCCCTGGTTCAGGTCAGGAGTTTTATGATGCAACCTGAAACCTTCATTGTTTATATCCACGTCTGCTTCCTTGCATTTATCTTCTTCCTTACTTCTATGGGAGCATTTCCTCATTTCTTGGCACATTACCACCAACAATGATCCATTGATGGAATAGTGAAAAACGATTGTCTGGACTATGCATCACAACACCTGTGTTCATGTGCATTCTTGTGTGGGTGCACAACATCCAAACAAAAAACGGGGCCAACTCTTTAAAACATTGCTAAAACATGCTTCTAACAGTTAAAGCTCAACAGGGTATTTAAGTTCACACCTCTATTTTGGGAAACTCCACTCCTCATGCATAACTGTCTGAGTGGTACTTTAGTCTTCAGGTAAGTCTGAGGACAGTTTGGGGATTAATTCTTCATTACACGTGCTTATCTCAGCACTGAATGGCTTTAAATGAAGATGAAGGAGAGAGGAGATTAAGGTGGAAAAAAAACTACCTCACTTTGACTGCAATGTTTAACCTTAACCTCCAACTCCATAACAAAATTACCTCGAAGGTAAAAAAGCAAAGGCACGGCAAGGTCCATCATTTTCAAGAAAGTCTTACGCATCAACAGTTAATTATCTTCTGTTGAAGGCAAGACAGAGACTAAGATGGCAGCCAGCACTGCAGTCATACTAGGCTTCATTAACAGGATTAAACAGTTTAAGGGCTTGATGAAGAAGAACCATTAATAGAGCATTAATCACCATGTCGCTAACTGAGGTTAGGCAGGAGGAAAGAGCAGTGCCTTGCTTCTGGCTTAGTAGGTCATGTGTTAAAAAAATGCTAGGGCTTAAGAACTGGTACAGCTGGAGGTTGTGCTTCCAGGTGAGTCTAATTCAAAGGAGCTATTTATAAGTTTTGCTATTGCTACATAGCTAATGTTAGCATTAACAGCTGTTCACTTAGCAGTCTACAAGAAATGTTGCCAGTTCAGCATCAAACTTCATTTCTTTACTCACCAAGAGCTGTCTTTAGCTGTGGAAAGCAACCCTCTTGTTTTGCCTGTATTTGTATCTTCTTTTCCTCTCCTGAAATTAGCATGCTAACCAGCTAGCTCCAGTCTGGTCACCCTTTCTTGTTACTTTCCAATACCGAGTCACTGTAGTGTCCAATCTGCCTTGAAGCAGTAGTACTGCTCAGAGGACGTATTATAACCTCTTGTATTGTAAATGCAACAATGGCTGAAGCTCTTGGCAAGACTGTTTGCTGGCTATGTAACAATAGTAAAACTTGCAAATAGCCCCTTTAAATAAAAAAAATCTGTGGGTTCTTTTATTTTTATGAATATTTATTTCTTTAAGTAAGTATACAGAGTTGGTACACCATATCTGTAGGCCAGCGCTTAAAAAATGATGTGATACACATCATATAACACGGCTGTAGTTTAGTCCAGATGCTGTATCTATTGGGCTGAAAGATACATTTTTCTTCTTTTCTGACTTTTTTTTGTTCTGGTAAACGATGAAAAAAAATGATAATGGTGAATGATGGTACATTTGTGAGCTTAAAAGCAGATTTCAGTCAAACACACAAATAACATGGAGGGCATTTAGTGACCTGTGAAATATTTTGTTACTGATGACCAGAAAGATTTTAAAGCTTCCAGACAGCTATCATCCTGTCATGGAGTTTCAGTGTTAACTTCTGCAGAAACAGCAAACAGCAAACAGCCCACCAGTTCTTGCTCAGAGAGCCATGCAAAACTCCCCACCTCTTTTCTGGTGCGGACGGCAGCATCCTGGATCAACTGTTTGATGGCCTCCTTTGTCTTCTCTAACTCCTCTATCCTCTGTTTCTCTCTTAACAAGGCCTGAAGGGAGAGTGTAAAGACAGACGCAGATACACATTTCAGTGGGCAAAGTTCCATAGTGCTATAGGGATGTGGACATTTGTTAGAGGATAGAAGAGCTTAACAGACTGAGGGGAAGACTTGGTCAGTGAAAAAGACTGAAAAAAAGGAGGGAAGAGATAGACTAATAGAGGAAACAAAGACAGAGTGACTGTGATCACCTGGTCCTTCTGCAGAGCAGCCTCCTCAGCCACCTGAACACTCTCTCTGACTTTGGCCAGAGCCTCATACTTCTCTTCTTCTAGGGTGGTGCAACGTGCCTGGAGTTCTCCCAACTTCCTCTCCCACACAGTTTGTTCTCTGCGAAAGGAGTCTGCCTCCTGAGATGTAACCTTTAGCCTGGCAGTGGAGAAAAGGAGTGAGTACCAGCAGCAGGGGGAAAGACACAAAACTGAACCCCAGAACTCTTGTCTTATTGTTTGACCCAACTGCAATTTCAGTGTAGTTTGACAATGACAATAAACTTCTTGAATCTTGATGTAACATACCACAATTTCCCCAAAGATTCAAGCATAGACCTGCTCCGTAAGCTCAACTACTGTTAATGTTGTTGGCCTGTTGATATGTATTTTAAGTCACTTTGATAAACACAATGTTGTATGATCATATCTAGTTACCCACTTCGAAAACATGCAGAGTTTCTTCAAATTTCATGAATAATTTACACTATTTTCTCACTTAATTAGTCGCAAAATTACATATAAGAGTTCTATAGTGCTGCATGAATTGATTAAATAATCAAAATACTTGCAATAAAGGTCAGAAGAGTGGAAAGGTGCTTAAAGGTGAAGCAGCAGTTTAAATTGTGCTCACCTGGCCTCTAGCTGGCTCAAGGCCGCCTGGAGCTGTTGGAGGCGTCTGTCTGCTGCATCCTCTCGGCCCTTAGCCTCTGCCACATCCTCCTCCTAAATACATACACACATATGGCTGTCAAAGGACGGTTGCGAAAAACAAGGATTTTCATTGCAGGTCAATTAAATGGATTCATCACTTGTTTAAAAAATATGACAAAAGGTGGCTATGATAGCCCAAAGTGATGCCCAACAGCCAAAATAACTAAAACCCAGAATTGAAATATTGACTGACACATAGAATCAACTGCTGTTTCACTGTGTTTCGTCTTAAGTTTCCTGATCGAGTTCTAAACTACCTTCCCAAAGCCCCAGTAGGTTGTATTTTTTATTCGACACATTTTTTCCTTCCCTCACCCGTCTGTGCATCTGGTCCTGGACATTCTGCAACAATTTGGTCATCTCATCCACTTTGGCTGTTGCTGTCCTGAGTTCAGCCTTGGCTTGTCTACAGTGGGAGGAGAGAGAGAAAACAATAGTTCAAACATATACTGTGACAACATTGAAAACTGGTTGCCATTTTTAATTCATGGTCGCCTTATTTGGTTTATAGTCTCCTTATTAGGTCAGCTTAGTTACCTGAGCTGGCTGTGTAGCTCCTCCATCTCCGTGCTCTGCTCTGTTACCGTCTTCAGGAACTGCTGGTTAGTCTGTGTGTGGCAAGGAAGACAAGACTGCCATTTGTGTGGCATGACTTCAAATACAGACTTTGGACTTTATGTCACAACCAATGCTCCCTAAAACTTTTCCCTCAAAACGTTGTACACCCTTTTTTAGAACAAACCCTAAGGAACCTTTGTCAGTCATTCACTGCTACAAAGTCAATTGTTCCCACACACAGTCACTGAAGAGGCTGCTCGTATGAGAAGTCAGAGAGGGGAAAGCAAAAGGCTTGCCCTCTCATTAAAAATGCATCAGAGGGATATAGCGTTACTCGCTCCTAACACACTGTATTGTGTCCAAACTAAGCACCAGGCATATGTGTGTTTGTGTTCATGGGTTTTTACGTGAATAAATATATGCAAAATAGGCAGCGCGCCTTAATCTCAAAGTCAGGTTAACAGTTTCTCTAAATAGAGCCTAAACAGTTTAGTGCTTAAAGTATTTATCGTTGACTGTAGGAGAGAGAGAGAGAGAGAGAGAGAGAGAGAGAGAGAGAGAGAGACGAGTGTACAACAGCATGTGCTGGAAAAAGAAAAAACTAAGGTAGTTAGAGGATTACCAAGCCAGCTGACAGTCCATTCATTACACAACCAAGACAGTTCTGGCTGACTACCAGAGTGATTTAGAAACCAATTCACTTAGTTATAAGATTAATTATTGGAGCAGGGTTTAATTTGGAGAAGTGCACACCATTTCGATCCCATGGCTAATTAGGGGAGAATAACTTAACACACTTTTAATTAACCGTCACTTACCGATTCTAGTTTCTGATTGGCCACTTGTAGTTTGTGTGAGTGCTGCTGGAACTGAACAAGCTGATCCTGTGACAGAAAAAAGGGGACATTCAATAAAACTTAACAGCTCGTAATTACCTCATGTTTATATCAAGCATTAACTGAGGACAAACTGCTCTAATTAAACCCATTTCTATAATAATGGCTCCATCTAGTGGTGAAATGCTGATGTCCTAATAATGTGCCGCCTCTGCATGTTAATGTGGGAACGCTGAACCTTGAGCTGCTGTCGCTGAGCATCGTGGATCTGTCCTTCAGAGATGGTTTTCTGGTAGACCTGCTGGATGCGGTCCAGCTCCTGGGCTGCCGTCTGCCACAGCTCCATGGCCTGCACCCGCTCCTAAACACACACACACACATACAGTACAAAATGTACACACACACTCTTTCACACACTCAGAAGCATTTATGCATGCTAAAGAAATTGCTGCTTTCTTCCCAGGAGTTAGATGAGGAGGAGAAGAAGAACACCAAACACCTCTGTGCACTCAGTAAAGACAGACACTGGAAGTGTGGAAAACAGCTTGAGGAATAACGCCCTCTAACCAGTTTCAAAATTGTGCTATTTTCAGGTTGTATCTTGTTGGCAAGACACTAAATCCAAAAATCATCTGGGTTTTATTCAGAGTCATGAGAGTGTGCAAAAATGGCAACTTCATTATAAGGGCAGTGCTGTGTCGAGCCCCTGGGACCAGCTGTTGTTGCTACTGTTGTCAATTAAAAGCTCCAATTTGTTAGCTAACCACTCAGTAAACCATTATGTCTTGTTTTTTGTTGCTTCAAATGTAAAACACACAAGATACAATGTGTAGATATAACAGTTTAAAAGCAGCTTTGACAAAGCTAGAGAGGCTGTTTCCCCTGGCTCACTACTGAATTCACAGAGATCGAAATCATATTGATCCTCTAATCTAACTCCCAGTAACGCCAAATGTTCACAGCATCCAGCTGCATCAAATTCAGTTTACTATCATAGAGGATAAAGAAAAGCATCAAATCCTCACACTGAAAAGCTTCAGGCAGAGAATGTTGATGCAGATCAATTTTCTGTTGATCAGTCTATCAATTAATCAACTAATCGTTGCAGCTCTAAAAATATTATGTATAAGCCACGATCTAATTTCATACTTGTATGACTGACAACAGGAACAGAAAAATATGTAAATAATAACAACTATATTGTGAACACAGCTGTATTAAAACACAGTATACATTAAGTGATCTGAGGGACCAGGAGGGGACTGAACGGAGACTTAACTGGCCATCTTCCTCCCTCCCTTGTTTGCTTTTCTTCTCGCTTTGTTTCACTAACTACACAGACAAAAGCACTAACGTAGGCTGTGTACTATATGTGTGAAGACATCTTAAAAAAAATTAGAGCAGCTCACATTTTTGGCAAATATAAACCTGCAGTGTAAAGATAGTGGAGTGTGAAAAAGAGCCAAATGTGAGCAGCTCCAGACGCGGACCCAGAGGACACACACAGAGGCTAGAATGGCAGCGGATCAACTCCAGCGGCCGTGACCGAGCCAGAACGCAACGTAACCAGATGGTGTGTACATTGGCCGTAAGACAACAAACAAGCATATTATCTTCATTATTTTATTATGCACTATGACAAATAATATGCACATTATAAACACATAATTGTAATAGTGGACTTAATCTACAAAGATATGGACGTCAAATATGGACACAGTGCAGACCTGTTCAGACAGCTGGACCTGCTCTTGGAGTTTTTTGATGACTCCTTCCTCCTCCAGTGCGCTGCCCTCCACTCCTGAAGCCACCGGCAGAGCATGCAGCTGCTTCTCGACAGACTCCCTCAGCTCCGCATGCAGCCTGGAAGAGACGAGGCTTGATCATGAGGGTTGACATTGAAGATTTTAATTTGCAGATAGTTTTTTATTTTAAATTAAACACCTCAACCTCGATTACTGTCTATCCAGCATTTCATTTGGCTGTAATGTAAATGGTCTAGGAGCCTTGATTACCAACAAAGAACTAATTACCAACCAAACTAACACACTTCTCACTGTGACCTTATCTAAGCTCTAAACAATTAGTCGCTCAATGTATAAAAAAAAACTATGTAATATCTGATATTCTCTTATAACATCTCTCATTGATTAATGTTGATTAATGTGATACATCTTCACTATCTTTCATGCTGTTGTGTACTAAGGGCTGCAGTGTCACAGCCATAGACACCAACAGACTGAACAAGATCAGAAAAGCCGGCTCACAATTCTGGACTCCAATTCATCCGCTCACTATCTGAATTATCACCTGCACTTTGGTACTCATAATTCTGCATGGGTCATGCCGTCTGGCACATCATGTATCAAACACTTTAACACTGCACAGGCACTTTACTGCTGTACACAATCCAACAATCATTTCTACATATATAAAGACACACATACACACCATATATCATCTCTGTTTATATTCTCACTGTAAATACATTCCATTTTATTCATTTTTATTTTTTTAATATATTTTATTATTATTATTCGTCTGTTTCATTTTATCTTATTTTTCTTACTTCTATGGGTATTTTTTGTTTATCTTGAATGTAACACTGTAATGTAAAAAGTGCTATCTTATCTACTGTGTAACCACTCATCCTATGTTGAGAACAGTAGAATTTTCCTACCTTTCGTTCTCCTTGACAACCCTCTCCAACTTCACTTTGACATCTGTCATCTGCATCTGTTTATTTTAAAGAACAGAACATTGTTTGTTATTGATTAGTTTAGACAGCCTGGAAGATTTTAGGGTGCCTTCAGTCAAATTTAAGCACAGATTTGCCCATTTAAAAAGTTACACATGACTAAAAAATAAAAAGAATCAGTGTTCTCAAGATCAAGTGATATTCATTACACAGCTGTCTTTTAATCTTCGACTTTCTGCTATTCAATTTAGAATTTTTCAAGAGCTTAGACTTAAGCAATCCCATTTCTTCTTCTGCTTATATCTACAGTGTGTTTGTAATATTTCAGTAGATAAAGTTAAGTTATTTCATGTTTGTGAATTTGAGCATCATTTTATATCACTGTCAGAAACGAATTTAATTGCCCCAGTGTTTTTCACCTGGTATCTCTGCAGTTGCTCCGTCATTTCATCCATATGCCGATCATACTCTGCTATCAGAGGAGCCATTATACTGTAACACAGATGAAATACGTCACAAGTATTTTCTCTCAGGTGCATACATATGAACAAAAGGTTGTTTTTCCAGTAACTCGGACTTCAACGAGAATATGTTCATTGTCATTCATAAAAAGGCTTTTGTCGTGCCTGACCTTCTGTCTGAGATCCAGGGTGCAGGAGACTCAGCCCGCCTTGCCTCCTCAACCTGATCGACATAACAGTTAGCGGTTAGCATAATAGGATGTCCAGTTGTAGTACATTATACCAAATACCTTTGTTTCCTTCATTACCAAAACAAAATACAGATGGAAAGGTTACAGAGAACAAAGCTTTCATTCATTTAAATTCCCATATATGTACATACAAATTTCCTGGCTAAAAACATTAACACAAAACACTTACTGAGCATACCTAATAATGAGCCTAAATCATTTTAGTTAAGCTAAATCTTTGCCAGTTTAGAGGTTTATGATGATTCCTTTTTACCTGAGATGATGTGGATTGAGTGTGGTGTCCATATTGATACTGGCTGAGAGCTGAATTTAACCTGTGGACTAATAACAAAAATATAAGTAGATAAGCCTACACACTACATTATTCAGAGTTGTCAAGTTTTCAGTTTCCACACTAAAATATGCATTTTTGAAAATGCAACTTTTCACAAATAAGGTAACACTTTGAAATTGTAGCATTCTCCATTTAGGTGTAGTTAAAGAACAAAAAGACAAGTAGAAACATCTTGGCCATATTGTGTCTTTGCCAGTGTAGCCTAAATTTAAATTAGACATTAGTCTTATTCAGAACTTGAGTGACAGGAACATTATGTAAGAAAGAAGTCAGGTGTCAGGGAGACCTATCAACCTACTGGTGCTATCCTCCCTGGTCTGCCCTTACCTTGATCACGCAAAAACTCAACTTCTGCATCCATGCTGAGGGTGTGGTCCAAACAGAAGCAAAACAATTTACGTCGGCAAGTTGAAAACGATCACCAGGAACTATAGATGCAGCTACAATTTGTTCGCCAGTACTTTCGTGGCTATTTTCAAGGTAACGTTTGAGTGCGGGAGTTTAAACCCCGTCTACTTTAAGTACATGACTTGAGACGTTACAAAGCTTCTAAAAACATATATCAGTGTGTATCGTGTGTTCCCGTAGTTACCTGCTGCAGCTAGCGTTAGCTGGTGCAGCTAATCAATCTCAGCTAAGTTTAGCTAACAAAACCTTTGATAAGTTGAACAAATGGCTGATTTGCAACACAACATAATATTTTCAGAGGGAACTGACTCTTCTGACTTATATAAATGTATTAGAAGCCAGGCGGTAATTTGAAATAGAAATACATGATTGGGTTTTTTGTTGTAATCCTCCGTTCCGCCGTCCGTTTAAAAGTAAACAAAACACAACCAATGACAATGAAGATGTGTTCCCTTAAAGTTGTTCCGTTTGTACATCAGGGTGGAATAAAGGTTCCGCTTTGCTACAGGAAGCAGCAGTCCGGTTTCTTGGAAGTTAACCAAGCTTTTAGTTTCAGTGCGAGTAACGTTATCATATATGACATTTTGGAAAGTGGAAAGAGATTATGTTTGCACCACAGCTATTTTGTCTGTTTAGTTAGAAAGTAACAAACGTATTTGTATAAAATTTGCTGGCTACCTGGCGGTCAACTACTAACAAAATTGGATTTTAGTGTTGAGAACGATTCTGCTGGAAAACAACGTCTTCTGGGTAATTTGCTTATTTGTCCAGACATCAAATCACATCTACTCTGAAACCACAACCAGCACATCAAGTAAATTCACTTTGATGGTTCCAAGCTTCTTCTGTCAGGAAGTCAATTTTACTATCTAGTAAGTTATTGAGTAACAGAACTGTACTTGACATTTGATAGCGAACTGCTTAAAGAGCCGAACAGTAAGTGGATTAGGGCATGACAAGCTCAGCGCGGGACAGTTGAGAGTATTTTATTCAGTGAGTCTTGGGAGCCTTTAACAACATGGGGGTAGCTCGTGGACTACAGTGTATGACACTATTCCACATCCTGCTGTGCTGTGCATCTCTGTAAGTTTGTAATGTATTGCTGTACTGTGTCACTTTGGTCACACAGCCAATTCATCCTAAATTAATATTTCTTTCAGTCCTCATACAGTAATGGAGTTTGCTATCCAGCACACCTGGGATAGCAATCCTGTGAATCATGATCCTATCAGGATCGTTTTCTCTCCTGGACAAGGAGGGCTGAAGATGGAGGTCTTTGGTCCCTTCTTCAATGACCCAGCAGCTCCTGCAGGGCCCCCAAGTCAGCCTTTTCCTGGACTCTGGGATTATGAAGGTAGGTAAGACGACAGTTAGAGATGCTGTTTGTATGGTATAGTGCTAAACAGCTTTCCAGATATGCAAATCCTGTTTATATAGACAAGGGTGTTAACAGGTTAAATGACAAATGCACGAATGTCTGTGAATAAAGTATGATCTTCACATTAGTGAAAATCACATTAGTTAACTGAATAACTAAAAGCACATTTTAAAGAAAGCATTTAAAAAATCACTAATTTAATTGACATAGAAAGTGTTTTTTAATAACTAATAACATTTTTACCAAAAGGTATTAATAGTATCACTTAAATGTGAATTTAATAAATTACTTTATAACTTATTTTATTTGGGAAATGTGGTTATTAGGTTTTTCTTGTTTTACTTCAACGCCATTTTCAATTTGCACAAAGACTGGAAACAAGTGGAAAACAGCTAGCCTAACTGTCCAAAAGTTAAAAAAAGAAATCCCCCTAGCAGCATCTCTAAAGCTCACACATTACCACATTATACCATGTTAGTTTAAGCTGACATATCAGAACAACAACTTTCAGTTCCCCCCTTTGTTTTCAGTCTTTATACTAAGCTGAGCTAACCGTCTTAAAGCTCCAGCTTCATATTGAACAACAGATATAAGTGTGGCATCAGTCTGCTCACCCAATGCAAACTCTTGGCAAGAAAGGAAAATTAGTATATTTCCCAAAATGTAGAACTATTCCTTTAACAGATTATAATTGTACATTAAAGGTGTATAATTATTCCAGTGATACACTCCAGTATCCTTAGTGTTGATTCAATCTGAACTTTATAAACTTCACAAAGGTCACATTTATGGCCTATTGTATTTGACTGTATGATGTTGAACTGTTGTTACGTCTATGGTTCCCACCCCCCAAATAGTTGTACTTATCATAACCATGTAATTTCAGCCATGATTTAGTGATGTAGTCTGTATGTTGCAATTTTAGGATGCTCTACAAGCAGAGATAAGATTATGAATATATTCCAATGAGGTTTGAGAGACTAGGGACTACCTCTGTTTGTGAGGCCATAATAGTAATTGCATTATCATCATTATGGTGACACAGCAATTAAACATTGTAATGAGGTTGAGTTATAACAATCCCATCTAATTGACCTTAAGTAAGTTCGATTCCTGGTTAATGAGCCCCACATATTTGGCCTCATTAATGTTAGTTATTAGATTGGGAACCAACCCCATTATAATCTAGGTAGATAATGAGCACACTACAAGGTTAGCGGCTGAGCTGGTCCTCATATCTTATTTGAAAATTTATGTATCTCTTACTTTTCCATGATATATTCTTAAATTGTAACTTAAAATAAATGACTCAAATGATTTAATTTTTTTTCCCTGAATAGGTGTTGATGAGGTTAATAACACCTTTTAAGAATTAATGTAAGATTAAAGGTCTTATCTTTATTTTATTTTATTCATCTCCTCAGTTGTTGAGTCCTTCTTCCTTGACAGTACTACAGAAAATTACCTGGAAGTGGAGCTTTGTCCGTAAGTATAGCGCTCAGCTGTTGTACTGTCCATATGTGTGGCTATCTTTTTATAGACAGTCATAGTACAACAATGAGACATCTTTGTTTTTATTTTAGACATGGACAACACCTGATATTATTGCTGTCAGGAGTCGGTCAAGCATTTATGGTAGGGACCCATCAAAGGATTTATTGAGGGGCTTTTTTGTATTAGGTGATAAGTATTTCTTACTATACTCCTTATGTCTTTCTCTAGCAACAACTGCCCATGGTGTTTAATGCCACAATCAGAGGGGACAGGTGGATGGGTGAGGCTCTCCTCCCCTGGTCGTACTTCCCTCCCAATGTTAACAAGATGAACTCCTACGCCATCCATGGCTCAGGGGAGAAGCGTACATATGAGGCTCTCTACCCTATTCCCAAGGCAGAGATAGTGGAAGGCCAGAAACCTAACTTGTGAGTATGCTGATGCCTATCCGCACAGTTATTCGAGGTCATAGAAGTTATATACATAAGACATTAGTCATAGCAAAACATTGCTTTGTTGTTGAAGGGAAGTGGCAGCAATTACTGCACTCAGAAAAGTGGGGGACTTGTAAGAGAGAAATGTAGGTCAAAATCAAAACAGCAGAGGTTGCGATATCTTGACTTTTAGTCCCTAGTATGCGTTATAACACTGGATCCTATATTTTCCATAGTGCAACTTCATAGTATCTTTCATTAGACTTACTTGTAAGTAGGGCTGGGTATTGCCACTGATTTCCAGATCCAGTTCAATTCCAATTCACAAGGTCCTGATTTCGATGAGATTTCCAAGTCGATTTGATTTAATTCGATATCGATTCAGTAGAAGACATTACACAAGTGTTTTCACAGGCTGAGTAGTACTTCTTGTGATGGGTAAACTAATCTTATGTATAGATGCATATGTGGATTGTATGCATCCTATATTAAATTCTTTCTCTGTCTCATAGCCACCGCCTGGAGTACTTCAAAGATTTCCGCCTGCAAAGCATCATGGGAGAAGACTGGGTCCAGCTAGAGTCTGATCTGTGGAGAGGAAAACCCTGAGCTTTTCAAATTCACTCCCTTTTCCCTCTTGCTGTCTCTCTCTTGCACGCACAGACATGCAAACACCTCTGTGGCAGGGCCCTAGTACAAACACTCATTGCCAGGGAACAAAGGGCAATCAATCTTTATTAGTTAATGATGTCAAACGATATGACAAGAAATATGTTATCAGCTTGTCAGAGCACATTAGCCTTCACACACATTCATGCGAGCACACAGACACACACATCACAAGCTATTGCACGTCACCAAATATTGCCTCGGGAGAGTGTGACCTAGAGCGGTTAGAGTGTGGATGGTGGCAAGGACTGCTCACTTTGACCTTCAGCTCCTGTGTAGCTTGTGCTTTTCACTTCTTTTTTTTTTTTTTTCTCGCTATTTTAGTGACATAAACACAGCAGACTCTTGTGATTCTTTTCCCTGTTAAGGGACACACACACATAATCATACACACCATTATAGTGAAAAATATGTTCTTTGGTGACACATGCTTGAGCTTTTGAATTAACGTTGTACTGTAATTAAGTCATTTCTCAATCATTCCACTACCTTCATTGATTTCCTTTTACAATTAAATATGTTGTCAAGTGTATAGTTCTTTTTGGCTGGACTGGCCACAGGCCAGCGCTGCATCTGTGAATGTCTGTGACTGAGTGAGTGAGTGAAGAAGTTACACCATTGGTCAGCGTGTGTTGAAGTGTCTTTTCCTTTAGGCTGTTGCACACAAATTATTTGAGAAGAACAGTTTCTATTACGTCAGAAGACATTTACAGAAAATCCACAACAGTTTTCAGCTGTCATATTTCCACAAATAGTGACTGGGGCCTTTATTCACCACAGCTGCAGGTAATACTTTATCTGAGGCAGGCTTGTGTTACAGGCAGGTCTTTATTTATAATTTCCTCCGTTTGATATGTATGGTTGGTCATACCGGTATTTTAGTGTGATGCATTGTTTTGATCCACTCTCGTTTGCCCTGTTAAATTTACTGTTAAAGATAAGTAAATGTTTTGGCACGCCTGGCAGAGTAACGCTATCCATGGTACTGAAAGGGGGGTTAAATTCTGGCATGTTAAATTAG